GAAACATCAGTGTCATGTCCAGCAGAAACCAGAGGCTGTGATTCAGCTACCTCATTGCTAAACACCTTAGCAATCCTCTTGGTAGGAACCAACGGCAAATAAGTGGACACTCTGTATCCCTTCTCTGCGGTGCTAAGCACCGTTTCGTTGTACTTCTCAGAACAATAGGCAGCAGTGGGCACGAAAACTTGGGCCACTTGAGGGAAGAGTGGGAGCTGGTTGAGTTTGCGCCAAGTTGACACAGCGCATTGCTCGGNAGGCGTCGACGTAACATGCACTTAGCCGTTATAAACGTGGGGCCCAACACAGATCACCAGACGGTGTATGCGCGTTCCAAAACCAATCCTCTCTCTTATAGCCAGCTGTATCTTAACAATCTTTTCCATGAAATCTTTCTATATATATTTTTATTTCTCAACGTAACTACCTTTTTTTTAATATATATATTTTTCAACAATTTAGAAATATCTAAAGACGAATAAGAAGGCAAAAAATTGTGTCTCCACTCTCTACATAACAAAGTCTTTTGGAGACCAATAGTAACTCGCAAAATCCTATTTATAAATAACTAAATTCAATAGTGATTTTCCTATTATTATTCCTTGGATTATATATTTATATGGAAAATTGATTTTATAAATTAATTCACTTATTTAACAATCCTAAATTAATTGACACATGAGTTATATCTAATTTTGTATGTTTAACATTATTGTTCAATAAAATAGTGTGATTAAAAGGTATTCAACTAATCATCTATAGGTGATCAAATGATTAGACAAAAACTCTTAGATGTATTACTTAAAATATCTTAAACTCGAATCATTTCAGTTACTAATAAGAATTACTACTAGAGAATATACCCGATCATTAACTTCAAGGCCGCTGGAGATTAATCGAGGTGTGAAACTGGTCTGAACATTTCCAGTCATTACAAAAAAAAAGGTATTGGATTTTACGGTCTAATATTAAGTGAATGCTAATTCAGGTGTGCTAAATCTAAATCATGTTCACCATTACTATTTGAGAAGAAAAATGTTATTCTTACAAAGACCCGTACAAAGAGGGTTACAAAGTGACATCATCCAGAAGAAAAAAAACAAAGAAAAAACAGAAAAAAAGAAAGAGAGAGAGAGAAATCATGAAAATCAAAGGTGGAGATTATTTTTGTATACCCCTTTTGTATGTGTCTTTGTAAAACTAGTATTGCTTATTTGAGAATTCTACTAGTTGAATTTAGTTCCGTTCGTTTTTTTTTTTTTTATATATAAAGGTTATGTACTAATAGGATAGCAAGGAAAGACAATCTCTCACAAATAATAAGAAACACCCTTAATTTTTTTTAATTCACCTTTTTGACCTCGCAGATATGACAACTGGTATCCTTGATCGAGTCTTGTATTTGTTTATTGTATAGCTCCAGTTGCTGCTGCATAAAGAAAAAAGTAATAAAAAATTTCATTAGAGTTTCAACTTGGAAGTCTTCCAGACCTTACAAAGAAAATATTACATCCTGGCATGTAAGCATTGTTCAGGGATCATGCTTTACACGAATGGAAGAAAGAACACTGGAACCATGAACCAATGGGTCCCATCTTTAGATTTTTCCTGATTCCAGAATCAACAAAATCAGACTATCCAATAAGCCATTTAGATATGGTTCAAAATCATAACAAAACAACCCAGACATGAGTAGTCTTAAAGATTAGTAGAAATATGAATAAACTGACCTGAACACCTCTGTTTAACATTATAAGTTCCATATTAGGCATCAATGCCTACCGGTAAGCCATTTCCGTCAAAAATAAGTACCCAAAAGAGCATATGTAACAAGAAGTTTTCAGCGGATACATGATATTAAAGATGCAGTTTGAAAGNCGTGTTGTCAACAAAACCAAAACTCAAAACTTTCTGTTTGGTTTCCGGGAAAACTTCGTACCATCAAACAAAACAAACAAGAAACCAATTTCAGAAAGTGGCCATAGAACTCGAAACATGATAGAAAAAACACATGATTATTTCTCTATACTTTCACATCATAATTTACGAACTTTGTGGAATCAACCAAACCAAAACTCATAACTTTCTGTTTGGTTCCTAAGAAAACTTTAAAATAAATCAAACAAAACAAACAAGAACCCAATTTTAGACACCGATCACAGAACTTGAAAGACGAAACCAAAAAACCCCTGATCACTCACCATGGCTGGTTGCGCATCAATTTTGTCTTGTGCCATTTCAGAAACGACGTCGTAAAATAATAAGAAGTACTTCTTCGAAGAAATTATAGATGCTGATGGGTTTCTGGATATTAACGAAACTTCGTACAATATTTATAGGAGAAAAATTCTGATGGGTTTCTGGATATTAACGAAACTTTGTATTTATAGGAGAAAAATTCTGAAACGAAATCGGGTGTGAACGTATGGTGGCGAGCGGTCTTGACACGTGGCGGCGCGTTATCAGTAGGGTTTGCGCAACATCAACGCTGATTCGTTGACGACTTAGACGTTAAGTATACTTGTATGTGAAGTATTACAATAATTCAATAATAATAATTGAAGAAATTGGGATAAGTTTTGTAGAAATAAAATAAAATTAATCAGAAGAAAATCCCCCTGTTTTTTCTGATTTTTCAGCCCGTAATACATCTCGATTATGAAAGAATCAAGTTTTTTGGAGCGTTTTATTCACCGTCTAAAGTTAGGTAAATAGCAAGCTGAAACATCTCGAAAATTTATAATCAAAATAAGTAAAAAAGTTATATAACCCTTATTCTCCCGTTTTTTCGATTTTTTGGCCCGTCGTGGCTCTTAGTTACGGGTGAATTATGGAGTTATTTTTAGCCTTTTATTTTTTTTTTTTTACCCTCTCGCCTCCCTATTCCAGTTTATATTCCAGCTTTCTCTTCTTGTTTCGGATTCTTATTTCTATTTTAGTTCCTATAATTATTTGCATTCCCATTATCATTCCGGTTTTCATTCCCGCTCACACTCCATTTTAGTTCTCGTTCCCATTCCTGTTAAATTTTTATATGATGTGATTAAAAATGCATCAAACTCTTTATATAAACCAAGGGGTACAAAAAAATTAAAATAAATTATACTATGATATAATATTAGTGGCATATTAATTTTCCTAATATATTTTGTTAATTATAACATTAATCTTATTTAAACTCTTTGTCATAAAATTATAGCATATGAATGCAGAAGTATCAAGATTAATCTTTGAATATGGGCCCTGCAACTTGATTTCAAGCCCAATTCCGATTAGAATGGGTGGCGTAGGTAAAAATTAGGCTGGTGGCAAATGGCCTATGGCCTTTCTATTGTGAGCCATAAGGCCCACAATATACTCTCATTGACCTTCATCGATGAGTAATGTTTGAAAAAAAATTCGAAACATAAAAATTTACGATAAAAAGAACGTATATGTATTCATCCAATAAACGTATGTCACATTAGTATATGTAACGAACGTAAAGATTTGTTTTGTGATTGAGTTTGTGCACGTAAATATATTATTAATATTTTATGAAATAAAAAAAAAATATAATAATAATTTAAAAAAAAAAAAAAAAAGCATTTATATTCTCTTCATAGCTTTTCTCTTAAGCACCCAAGAAGCATATGATAAAATAATAATTATAAAATCTAATTAGTAATCTTAGTTGGAATGGTTGTTGAACAACTTTAATCTTCATTTGTCTTTTGTGATCTTTTTAGGTGAAGGGGATTAATATACAAGGGGTAGGTCCATATTAATAAAATAATTTATATTTTGCACAAAATTCCACATCTACCTTTCCACTGTTTTTTCTTCATTTTACTAATAACCCAACTTGGAACCAAGGTGTCAGGATCAGCTTATACGCACCTTGACAAATTCTAAAAAGAAAAAATTAATTTTTATAATAAATTTATTGAAATACCTAAAAATTATTCATAATTTTTTTTCCATTAATAGGATAATTATCAAAAAATGGGTACTAAATTTTTCATACTTCAACAAGGACCCACTTTCTATCATTTCAAGAGGAGAGTAAATGAGAAATTAATTAAACATTCAAGCTTTTTTTTTTTTTTTTTNAAAAGTTTTCAATTCACTAACTATCAATCATTATAATTGTAAAGATAGATGAAAACGAGAAAATCCAGAAACGACATAAATTTATCGAACTAGGGTTTAACGAAAAAAACCCCACCATGTGTTTATTATTGGTTGGTTATATATGTATCGACCGCATAAAAGATTGACGTAGTACCTTCTGGTATTTCAAAAATTTGTAAAGTATACATGGTGGGTAGGATCAAATACACATCCACAAGCTAATAATGTCTATAACTTCATCAAGAAACCATAAGATTTGGTTCCTTCTCTTCTTGAAGAAAAGCACATTTCCCATGTAGTTGAGTTAGTCAAAAGAAAGGAGAAAAATGAGAATGAGAATATGACAATTGGAACCCCACTTTACATGCATTTCCATGAAGAAATTTGAATGAATTATTCTTTCCCCCTTTTTGCCTCAAAAGGATAAATGATACTCTCAATTATTAATGGGATTTGTTTGCTTTGATCATCAACTTTTAAATAGTATTTTTCATAGTACAAATAAATGAAATAATGTCTTTCATTGATCCACTTTTAGGTACATGACAACTCAAACACTTCACATTTTTTTACTATTGTTTTCACATTCTTGCTTTTTCCCTTTACCAATAAGGATTTTTTCTTTAAGAAAATCTAACCCATTAGACCAAATAATGCATTGGATTCAAAATTGGAGAACCCACAAACAAGAATTAGGTTAAATTTTTTAATGAAATAATAATAAAATACCAAAGAAAAAAAAAAACACACGCAAAATGGGATTTATTGATTTATGTATAACTAATTTACAAAATAAACCATGAATATTCATAAATGTTAGAGCCAAACCATGGATCTCTCTTCCTACAACAATAAACAAAAATTAAAGAAAAAATCATGGGGAAAAAAAAAAGAAAAAGAAAAATCAGAATTAATATCTTTTACATCAGACATCCAAATATAATCATAATATTACACAATGATACCAATATTTTTTTTTTCCAATAACATAAAGGCCCTTCCATCTTCCAAGTATAACAATCACAACCCCATTTCATAAAAACCCCCCAAAAAAAAAAAAATTTTAAAAAAACAAGAAACTCAACTCCTGCACCGTGAAATGGAGCTGCAGCCACGGCTGTAAGGGTTAGCCTGGCCGCCATTTTGGCAGTTGTAGTAGGAGGCGCCGCGCCGTGAGCAGGGCACAGTATTCCTCTGCAGCGCACCGTAGCTGATGTAGTTGCTGGTGGCTAAAATGCGCCGGTTGATCTCTGAGTCCATTTCGAACTCGCCCTCTTCGCCCACCAACGATGATCCGGCGGTGGGTAGCCACCCCAGATTGAGCTGGTGATCCCCGCTGGCAACGACGGTGGACAATGGGTTCATCATGAAGATCATAATCATAGAAGAAACCGCAAGAAGAAGTGTACGTGAAGTGAGCAAGTTCGCCATTTTCTTCAACCTCCCTCTTCTTCTTCTTCTGGTTGCTCTGTATTGTGATTTATTCTTTTCTTTCTCTTTCGATTTGATTTTGTGTAGAGAGTTGGTTTAATTTGAAGACAGAGCAGTATGGCCTAGCTGGGACTTATAAATGGGCTTCCAGAGCAATTTGACCTTGGTCTTGAGTTTTATTACAAGAATGCCATTTTTGGAGGGCTTTAAAATTGAAATATCGAGTTTGTGGAGGACCACTCATTTTACTAGAAGGGTTGAAAATTTAAGATTTTTTTAAGTTTTTATTGACTTGTGATTAATAAAGAAAATTAAAGTCATTGTCTAATTATCTTTCTATATTTTATCAATATAATTATTTATTTTTCGAGTTTGATCTTAGATCACCTTGATTTTCCTCCAAAATTGTATTGTAAGGAAACCAATGTCGCAAATGGTCTTGTTTAAAAACCATACACCGTGTAGGGGCTTTACTAAGACTAATGAGTAAAAAAACCTAAAACTGAAAGCGATCTTAGAAACCAATTGCGCTTCGGTAAAAAATCTCAATATCGTATTCGTTAAGAAGAAAAACAAGGCTTCATTTTGTTCAATATTATATCCCTATTTTATTCTATTCTACTATTATATCCTAAAAACTCAAAAATGTATTTGTTTTAATATTCTCAAAATCTTATTCTACTTTATTAATCTCACAAAACATTAATAATTACCTTTCTTGTAAAGATAACTTAATTTTACTTTTTTTCTTTCCAAAATACTATTATAAAAATCATCAAATAATGAACCAAATAAAGCAAAAAATTACGTTTTCATTATGATCTTACAATATAACAATTACCGCGGGAAAAACTAAAGAGTCAACTAATCTGGTTTTACTACAATTACTTGAAATACTGTTGGGTAACATCCTTTTTTGATTGGGTATGACTTCAACTACTCCTCAAACCTGCCAATTAGTTAATCACCGACATACTTTAGTTAATAGCCCTATAATTGATATACCAAGTTATTGATGCAAACCTCGAGATATTATTACAGCAAGGGATTACCAAAATTAATTCCAAATTATCTTGATTCATCCCATCAGGAGGAATTTAGAAATCAGGAGCATACACTACTCCCTTTTACTTTACCCAAAATTAGCGAAGTCAATTCAATTAATTACATTTTATGATTATAAAAAAGATGACATGACATTAATAGAACATTGAAAACATTAATTCCATGTGTGTTCATATTCATTCTAGAAGTATTGTCATGGATTTCTGTCATGCAACAACAGCAAACCCAAAAAGAAACTTCCCTCTACTCACCTAAAGCAGAAAGAAGCTCATATTGTCACTAGGGTTGTTAGCTGCAAATTTTTGCTTTCGACTTTTGAAGAAAGAATGTGTTAATCGTAAAAATTGTGGGAGGGCAAAGACAAGACCCACCACAAAGAGTGGCAACCAAGTAAATAAGATGAAATTAAGGGTAGAATTGTAAGTGTAGTTTTGGTACATTAGTTGACTAGTTATGTATCACTAACTCTTTCTCTGACATAGTTGGTATAAGAAAATGAGAAAACAATAAGAAAAATAAAATAAAGTTTAAAATGAGAAAGAAAGACGGCATCTAGGGTTAGCGCAGCACCTATTCCTAAGTCCGTCCAAAGAATCTCTAAACCGAAACACGTTTTCTCTTTCCCATCTGGCCTAATTGATTTTAACTCCGTTTACGTCACCTTTAATTAACGGCGCCGTTTGTCTGTCAATATTCCAGTGTGCATAACCCCCTCCACTTGCAATTTGTCTTCGCATGACAGTATAGCATATATAAGCTATTGGATTAATTAAAAAGCAGTAAATAATCTTGAAATTCACTCAAAAAATATTTTCATTTAGAAGACTAGAACCGTTATCCATCGCCACAATCATTCACTTAAACCGTGAATGTTCAAATGAAGAATTAAACTTGAAACTATATATTTATCTACATTATCTCTAATTCGTCATAACCATTTAGAATACCTTTGAATGAATTAAAAAACAATTCAATGGTTGAAATAAAATAATGTTTTATATATAAATTACTTTTATATTTATCCATGATATTAAATAACCATATACAAATTTATTTGAAATTGTTGGTTTATATCAATAATTAGATAAATAAGAAAATGAATACATGTATTCCATTTAAAAAAAAAAGGATAAAATTGCAAACCATAGACAGATTTTATTCGTCTCTTATTATTATCACTATTTATTAAACTTAAATTTTACATAAAAGTGTTTAAAACTTACAGAAAAGTTAAAAAAAAAAAAAAAAAAAANTTTAGGAAAAAAATTCCCTAGGTTGCACTTAAGGAACTTGTTTTGGGCTTTCGTAGGGCTGTCAATATCATTGATGTTCAGGAGGCCATAAATGATGTTCAAGATGTAGATATAGAAGCTCATAGGTGGATGATTGAAAATGATGTGACTAGCTGGTCAAGGCATACATTTGACCATGAATCTAAATCTGATCATGTTATAAATAAAATGTGTGAATTTTTTAATAGCTAGTTGGGAGAAAATAAAGAATTACCCATCCTAAATACTTGTTCAAGCATTATAGGGGGAGGATTATGGTACGGATGTAGGCTAGGGCAAATGCTAGGACTTATTGGGTCGTTATTGTTCCTTTTGCTATACACATGAAAATCAATAGTCTAATTGAGTCTGCTAGAAGTATTGAAACTGTTTGGCTAGGAAATGAAAAGTTTGAAGTGATGGATAAGAACTTTTTTCCCATTAGACGTTTCATCTTAAATATTCTATCTCACACTTGTGACTGTGGAATATGGCAACTTTCTGGAGTCCTTTGTGTACATACAATGAGCTGTTTGCTTTTTGGATACATTAGGAATATGGAAAATTATGTGGGCTCTTCATTGACTATCACTTCATACATGAAGACCTATGCTGATCACATTCACCCCGTACCTGACTCACTTAATTGGAGTGCCTTGCCTAGGGTAGGAAGTTGTACCCACCTCTCAAACATGGCAAGGTTGGAAGACCTAAAAAGGTGATAAAAAAAGGATGATGATGAAGAACCAAGTTGACCAAACCTAAAACACTTAGGTGTGGGATTTGTGGAAGTCTAGGACATAATAAAAGGAGTTTCCCACAAAATCCTCCCAACAACAAGAAGCAAAAGGTAATTTAAAGCTTTTATTTAAGTTGATTTTCATTATGCATGAAACAAAAGTAATCTTAAGCTTCTTCTTTTTTAAGTTCTCAAAATTATATACAACTTTCCTGAATTGGACTCTAATATGCTATTATGTATGTTTCTTTAGTCTTTTTAGAAAGGATGATCTTCATCAACCCAAACAAGTTAGGCAGGTGAAAATTCAAGCCGAATTTCAAATATTCCACAATAGTGAAGGGCAATAGGTTAGTACAACATTTGTGCTTCAAATTGTTGTTACATTGTTTCTTGCACAATTTTAGGGCTCTAAAATATAGTTTACAATTGTTATAGGTAGTGAAGCTGTTGGTCCATTGAATTGAGCCAAATGGGTGTTGTAGTAAAATTGTGGATTTTTTATGTGTGGAGTTTTATGGTGAATGTGGTGTAGAAATTTTTTGGTGAACTTGGTGCAACAGTCTTTTGATGGTGATGCAACAGTATATAAAAATGTGATACAGTAGATAGAAATTTGTTTGCTTTTTTGATGTACAGGTATGGTACAATTCAATTGTGCATATAGATAAAAATGATTTAGGTTGTTTTCTTGTAAATGTTGTCATTGCTGCAAAGGATTTTTTTTTTTTTTATGTAATCTGTAGGATTAATGGCTTGTTTATGGCTTAATTTGGTTGGTTAAAATCATCATATCTTCAATGACAATTATGTATATTTCATTTATGTTCAATACAAACTATTTTATGGAGTAGATGTTGGGTATGTCTAGGATGTGTTTGTGGAGGTTGTACAAGAGATGTCCAGATGTGTTGAATTTTTTGAAAATTTACCGTTATACAGTGCCACTCTAACATTAAAAAAAAGTGTTCAAATTATAAAACAAAACTTTAAATAATATAGGGGCATTATATTACTTTCACTAAATTTAGTTATTTTACACTTCAATGCTATTACAGGTAATATATAATAATATGGAGGGCATTCTTGGTTTTTTACATGTCCATTCAATTTTTTATTGCTAAGTAATCAAAAGTCAGTGGTTCAAGGGTATTTTGGTAATAGCACTCTCTGTAACTGTGTAGGGTTTTAATTGAATAAAGTGCGAAATAACAACAAAATTTTTCATTCGAAACCCATTTTATCCCAAATCATAGATTAATGTTAATAGCCCATTCAAAACAAATATACATAAAAGATTAAAGAATCGTTATAATCAAACCTTCGATTGAAGGCTCCACCACTTTTGATTGAATGGAAAAACGCTCACACTTCAAGAGGAGAAGTGAACACACGGAACTCGATGCTAAGACAACAAGACCCACACAATCAATTTGTTAGTTTGAGAGTGAAAGTTCAAAGAAGAAAAAGGGGAGAAGATTTTCTAGGAAAATCTCACTCTACAATTCTATCTTGGGAGGATGAGCTATATGAGGAAATGGGGTTAACTCCCCTTTTTATAGGGAAACCCTAACCCTAACATTCCATTGGCATATGCCAAGAAATATTCCCTTTTATTTCCACTAACATCCATTATTTATAAATAAATAATTAGACTTTACTTAGTGTCCAAGATAAGGTCGTTTTTGGTATTTTATTATTATTGCATTATTCATACAACAGTGATTCATTATTTGAAAAGCATATACACCAATATATTAATTTAAATAATGACTATTTATTCTTTTTTTAATATAGTACAACCTCTCTATAGTTATAATATTGGGACTAATTAAATTTATTACTATGAAAAAGTTATAACTTAATAAAGGTATAGTTACAAAATTATTGCTTTGATTAAAAAATTATAATCTTAATTTTTTATTTTATAATTCATGTTTTAGTAGAGTTAGGATTTCAGTTATTGTTTTAGTAGCATTAGGATAGTATGGAAATGAATATAAAAAAAGTCATTGCAAAATTGAGTGATCAAATTTGACAACTTCACTACACTAATCAAATGGATATTAATGTCTTTCTTAATCATCCAAACGAGCAACAAGTCGTGTCTGCTTTAACTAAAGAAGAAATCATTACTGGAACTAGACAAGAAGAGGAAGGAGATAATCCTGAGAATGATAGTACAAAAATACCAAAATTTTCGTGCTAAGCAGCTCTAAACATGCTTGAGAAGCAAAAAATATTTTGGCTTTAACAAGAAGGTGTCCATGTTGGTCTCTTACTACATACTCGCAAGATAAAATATGTGGTAACAACTCTAAAGCATAAATCATTGTCTCAAACAACTTTAGATAAATATTTTATTTTATCTTAAATCTTCAATGTAACATAGCATATATTTTTTTGCAATATAAATACAGTTATTACTATGTAGAGGCAAGTTCTATAAGACGAGACCTAGAAAAATTATAACTTATTACAATGTGAAATTTATTTTTATTTGTAATTGGATTAAGTTAGGATCAAAATTTTTTATGACTACATGAAGGTTATTCCTATATAGAATATCACTATAGAGAGGTTTTACTGTACACACACACACACACACACAGAGAGCGAAATTAATTGTGTCAATACCAATTCTAATTGAATTGACTATAATTGGCCTGACCCCCATCAGAATGGGCGCGGGCATAAGGGTCTTTATGACATAATCAATAATTCACTTCATTTTCAATTAGGCCTTGCTCTAGCTTCTTTAGGGGAGCGTCAGGGCTGACAGAACTAGAACTAGGGTTTTGTCACTATTTTAAAAGCCAGACCGGACCGACCGGTCAATCGGTTGGACCGTGAACCGGTCACGTGTCTGGTTCGAGTCAACATTAAATCCACTATTACGGAATAAACCGCTTTAACCCGTAATGGACCGCGTGAACAGTGTTAGACCGCCGATCCAATCGGACTGCAGGAAAAACCAGTCCAACTGAAAAATGAAAAAAAACCTTAATTTCTCCCTTTCTCCCTTTGCGCTGCGCAGTTTCTTCTTCCTTAGTTCCTCTACTTGCAAAAAACTCTGAAAAATATAAAAAATCAAAACTCAATCTTGCTGAAATCGAAACCATCCCTTGCTGAAATCGCAACCATTCGATGCTAAAATCGATCGCAACTCCAGTCTCTGAAATCACGACGACGCGTTCCTCCCTCGTCGGAAATCGATGACGCATTCCTCCTTCATCGGAAATCAATGCATGAAGGCTGATTGGCATGCATGTCTTGACAATCCAATGTGATTCAAGGTGAGTTGTAATCTTCGGGACCTTTGCTGTGAAATCTGAAATGTTTCATTGTTCATAGAGATTTTAGACCTAATAACATCCTTCTCACCCATGACTTCAGACCAAAGGTCAGTTCCATATTTTCTCTTTAATTTTGATTAATTGAAAATTTCTAAGAAATACACTGAATACGTATACCAACATTGATTATTATGTATCATCACTCTCAGAAACAGGTGGGAAATTTCGGTTTGGCAAGGTTACTGGCAGATGGACAGTTGGTAGAAGAGTCACGTGTCGTAGGCGCATTTGGGTATGAAAATTCTCTTAGTCTTGCTGATATAGCTCTAGGGCTTATTTAATTTGAGATATGATACAATTCTTTGGTTTTTGAACATAAATGAAGAAATAGACCTTAAGCAAAACATTTTTGGTTGAGAATTTTCAGCAATCATTTACTTGATGATTTACTATTGAATATATATGACCTTTTTATTTACGTATTTAGTTCCAGAATATACCCATTTTGGACTCATAATAGAGAAAGCTGATGTATATGCCTTCGAAATCATTTTGTTGGAGCTGTTTTTGAATAATACATGATTTATGGTCATCATGCCAACATTGTCGAATTAATTTATTTCAATACGGATGATACAGGGGCAACCATTACATTGAATCATTACTGTATGGTTAAGGATTTGGGTTCGTATGTAGTAACTAATCAATAATTTAGAGAATGTTGTTTCATCAACTTATGTGTATGTAATTGGTTTTACAATTTTTATAACTTAAGCGTCATTGGTATTTAGATTATGCAAATGCAACAAAGAGGAGAGGTGGAGACTGGAGAGTAAAGAACAACTCTTGTAGTAGCATGTGAACCCTATATAAATGTAAAACATGATGTGTGATGACGTCATTGGTCCAACCGGTTAGACCGGTTGAACTGTGACCCGACTAGCAGAGCGGGTTGCCCTCCGGTCTGGTTTTTAAAATAATGGGTTTCATGTAAAGGTGAAGAGTCTTCACATTCCAGCCGGAACACGTCCCTCTTGGGGATCTGGTCGAAAGAAAAGACCGGCCGACGCCCACCCGACTAGAGGGACTAAGAAATTAATAGAGTACAAAACTTATCTTCAAGCTTTACCTTATTCTGTTGAGAAATTCTATGGCTTGGGCGCGGGCATAAGGGTCTTTATGACACAATTAATAATTCACTTCATTTTCAATTAGGCCTTGTCTAGCTTCTTCAAGGGAGCGTCAAGGCTGACAGAATTGGAACTTGGGTTTCGTGTGAAGGTGAAGAGTCTTCACACTCCAGTTGGAACCCTCATGGGGATCTGGTTGAAAGGAAAGACTGGTAGGCGCCCACCCGACTAGAGGGACTAAGAAATTAATACAGTACAAAACTTATCTTCAAGCTTTACCTTAGTTTGTTAAGAAATTATATGGCTATATATATAAAGTAATCTTACAAATTAAAATCCAATATTAAAACCGGACATAGGCAACAACCTATCAAGCGACAACCTTCAACAAATTTAATTGCACCGTAAGAATTACCAAAATACCCTTTATCCCAAAATGACAAAAATTGCCCCTACTCCAAATCTTCTTTGATTTGTCTTTTAAGTGTGTGACCGATAGACTCCTTATCATATCGACAGTGGGTAATATCGCAATTGACACTCAATCATTTGTTTCATACACACAGACCCAAATTGGCCTTTAGCCAGACATCAAGGTCACCAGATAGATTCAGATTTAGCGTATCAACTACCTGTCAATGGTATGGTTACTGTGTAATTAAATCCTTTATCATCCATTATCTTATCAAGGTTTGAAGTACATAAACAATGTCAACTTCAAATATGCTACATTGATATGTTCGTATTCGGTAATTCAAACTAACGACTTAACGAAACTTGAGCACCAACTCAATTCCATTTTTGCCACAATTTTGCGGTCTTTGTCATTACTGAATTACTTAGCGAGATAATTCTCTTGTAATCAAGAGTGTTGAATCTTGTGTCGATCCACCATAGCCATAATGTACTTCTTAATGCAGTCACTCACTTATGTACTGATAACCCTAAATAGGACTACGCTAGGCTAGTGTCAAACTACACTGATATTTACACACGGCGCTCTGGTGATCTCAAATATGAGGATCATATACACCACCATCCGTTAGAGGATGTATTTCATAGACATTGGGGTTACCATCTATATGGAATTCTGTGGTTAGTCATGTCTAGTGAACTTGCCAATTGCAAGCGCCCATGCTTAGCATCAAGTTGTCACCAAACAACTTTAATATGCAAGATCTATTACTATCTTTCGATAGGGTAGTTCAACACTATGATAGTCTTACCATATTATCTATGCCCTTACTACAGGATAATACTAGGGCTATGGATGAATTCTAGAATGGCCATCTAATGTAATCATAAGGTTCTTACAATCAAGATTTAAAGCACTTGATACCCTTGTCACGATTCTACCATTCTAAGGACATATAATATAACATATCCGAAATACGATTTACATGATATAGTTCAGATATAATATAGTCAAATTGCCTTTTATTAATATTAACATGTTTTACAAGTAGTCAAATGCTACAATTTGATTGACTCTAGGGCACCTACCCTAACAAACTGTGTCAGAACTGAACAGTCACTAACGGTGTTACTTTAAGGGTGGAAAACTGGAATTTATGAAACCAATGGTGAGAACTTACCATTTCACTAAGCCTTGAGTGGGAAAATGTCATGTGTTCTATTCCCACGTAACAATTTAAGGGGGGAAAAAAAAAAAATTAAGAGTTTTGATACAGTAGCAATCATGATTATAACATGAGCAATGCTAGTTTTACAAAGACATATACAAATGGGGCATATAAAGACAATCCCCACCTTTGATTTTCATGATTTCTCTCTCTCTCTCTCTTTCTCTTTTTCCGTTTTTTCTTTGTTTTTTTTCTTCTGGATGATATCACTTTGGAGCCCTCTTTGTATGGGTCTTTGTAAGGATATCATTTTCTTATAACATTATATCAATAGCAATAATTCAATTATGATTAAAGATCTTATCATTCTAATATTATACATTTAGTAAATAATAAATTCTCTCATTAGCGTTTTTCTATTATAAAAAAACACTATCAATTATATTTTTAAGTTGAATAATTCAATACAAAATAATGTTCAACAAAATACACGTTCAAATTTGTCACTACAAAATATTAAAATGAAACAAAATAATTTATTATTTTTTAATATTTAGGGATTTGGTCCCCACGGATCCTCATCCCCGTATGTTTCTCGTTTTGACCAATTTGAGGATAGGAACAAAAATGGGGATAAAGTTCCCTTTTCGGGATGGGGATCCTTGCCCCTACGTACCCATCCCAATTGTCATCTCTATTTATTTGGATTGATATAGAACCAATAATCACCTCCCTCTGTTTTAATATACAAAAAAATTGAATAATGATAAAAAGCTAGAAAAAAACAATGAACAAGGGCATCTATATACACTAACATTACTACGTCGGATATACAAGAAGGATGCAAAAGAGTCTTTGTTTTTCTATATTTAAGGATTGACTTATCTTATTTAAACTAAACTTTTATTTCTTTATTTTATTAGTATTAGAATGGAGTAATATTCTATATTATATTTGTGAAAGAGACAAAATCACTTTGCCCCCATACTCTCAAAAGGCTGCCCATACCCTCCATAGTTTCTAAAATTCATCAACTAAGGACCAAAACAGTAAAAACCACTGGCAGAGCTAAGAATCCAAGTGAGGAAGGGCGAATTTTAAAAAAATGATATAAGTGACATTTTCAACATAACGATAAATATTAAAAATTTAATAATTAGTAATATTTTTTTACTCAATATAATTACAATTGTTTCAACGTGTTTTAATGTTTTAAAAAGGGAGAACGACAATTTCCCACCCAAGGTTTGGTGAAACAACACTTTCCCACCCGTGAAGTTTTGAAACGACACTTTCCCACCCAACGTTATGTTCCGTTAGCAAAATCTGTTACTATTTGATTGTAAAGACAAAAATACCCTTTATTGTTTGATTTAATAATTTTTTTATTATATGTCATGTTAACAAAATCAATTACCAATATACCCACTCTTAAATACGAAATTATTAATATGCCCTTAACTATATATGAAAATATAAATTACCAATTTGTCCCTCCATTTTTTTATTAAAAATAATGTTTTAAATCAATGAAGTTACAATTAGATTTTTAAAAATTTGAAACCTTTAAAATTACCAATTTATCCATGTAGTTGATGCAACGCATTTATATTTAAATTTTGTCAATTTAAATCCAAATAAAACTAAGTATCAACATTACTACATTCTTAAATAAGAATCCAGATTGTAAAATTACAGTGCATATGTATAAGTAATTTTGTCAATTCAAACCCAATAAAAATACGGAATTCAATACAAAGAAAGAAGCTTTTCCAGTTTCTCATTCATTTCTCAAAATCCAAAAAAATTTGCTTTCACCCTCCCTCTTTCTAAATCCTTGAAGCTTGATTTTCCTTTGCTTTCTAGATCTTCAAAGCCTTCTTCACAATCCTTTGCTCTTCCACCAAGAAAGCTCGAATTTGATGTATTGTTTTCAGTTGAAGTTACCATCTTCAGTGCCTTTGCAACTGCCTTAGGAGGCTATTCTCCATTTAATTTAGCGTCAACGAATTGTTTCACCTTATCTTCACTGAGTTTTGGAGTTGCCTAAAACAATCCATAATTGCATAAAAATCAGCTTGAATGAAGCTTACACATATGTGAATTTGTTATCTATCAGTATAGAGAATAACAAAATAGAAAAAATATGTATGTTCCAAAACAAGTTAGTGGTAAAAAAGAACAAAGATGAAGTTCATACCCATGTCACAAGGCTCTATTGCTCACGCGACAGAGTATGATCAACAAGCTTCCACCCATTTAAGAGTTCCAGCAGGACAATTCCAAAGCTATAAACATCACTCTTTGCACTCATCTGTCATATCATAGTATATCTGCAATCCAAAATCAAATATTGAGGCCGAAGTATTTATAAGTGCTTCAGGGAAAAAAAAACAAACACAAAAAGGAGACATAATTTTCCATACCAAGGTTTCAAGTGTACTAGTCAATCTGACATTCTTTTCCTATTTGTTTCATCACTTTTAACTTCACTTCTCCAGGAGGGGTTTTGACATAGTTTCTCGATTAACTATAAGCAAAACCAAGCACTATTAAGTCATATGAAAAGATACTATGACACGCCAAACGTAGCATAATATGAAAAATGTTCCTGCATGTACCATCTCTATCTTGATAACATGTTTGAAGAGAAGCTCTATGATAATATGAATGTATATCTAAAAAAATGAGATATCTACAAATTACGAAGTCATAAATCTTTGATTACCATGGGATTTACTCTAGAATTAGGTTGCAAATACAAAATCTTTCTCATATTTTTTTCTCAAAAATATTCCTGATTGCCACTAGTTCTAGAATTTCTAAGGACCTTGGGAAGGCAAATATCACACTAGCTTTTCATTTGCAATGATGGTAAGTCTGGCCACTATTAACTTAGAAAATAGCTGAATGAATTTATTTGCAACTAAAACATTTTGTTCTTATATCACATGTTCAACCTACAGCGTTAAATTTTTTACACAAATTTTTAGGACTATCTTTTAAAAGCAAAATGAGGGCAAAGATAGATCTAGGAATAAAGTTTAGGTGGAGGGAGAAGTTGGGGTTGGAGATTAAGGAAATCAAGTGTTTAGATACAACTTTAAATTTGACCAAGGATTTGATAGGGAAGCAAACAAATATTTCAATTAGAAGGTCATAATTGTAGGTGATTTTTTCGGCTGCTGATGATGATGATGATAATTGGTATTGGTGAGAAGAAGAGGAGGCTATAGATTTAGTAGAGTCAGCTATGGCTTTGTTTGTGGAAAGCATGATTGAGCATATGGTGGGAAAACTACAATATATCTAGTGCGGTAATTAATCGAACACTTAGAATGCAGAAACAATAGTAAGAAATCCAAATAAGAGTCAATGATCAACAAATGAGGAGATAATAAAAACACAGAGGGACAGAAATAAACAACACAATGAAAACACAAAGTAATGTGATTTAGAGGAAAATATACGTAAATCCGTAGGTAGTGATAATCCTCATTGTAGTTCTACAATTTCAAAGAAACCCTAGATTTTTCTCCACACAATCTCTTCTCTTGCCACTCACCAACCGTAAGCCGCCACTCGCCAACCCTAAGTCGCTAATCGCTGAGAACAAGGAGAAAAAGAAAATGACTTTTCGTTAGTCGGCAACCCTAAGTCGGCAGTCGCCAACCCTAAGTCGCTAGTGCTTAAGTTACTGAGAATAGGGAGGGTTACAGACTACAGAGAACAAGGAGAAAAGGCTTCTCCCTTCTTTTTTTCTAAGTACTTTAGTGGGACACGTGGCAACCATTCAGGCGAAGTTTCCATTTTTAAATTTTGATTTTTGGGGCTTCATGTAAATAAACCATCTTACCCTTCTTCAAAACAGATTTGCCTAACGGAACATAACGGTGGGTGGGAAAGTGTCGTTTTGAAACTTCATGGGTGGGAAAGTGTCATTGTGCCAAACCTTGGGTGGGAAACTGTGTTTTAAAAACCATCATTGTCAACATTTAATTTCAGAGTGAAAGCACCGTGAGACTAGGTTGAGTTTAATAAAAACTTTTAGGAAATAAAAAGTTACATTAAGATGGGTTATATTTGATGAGTTTAATATATATTTTTGTTTTGTATATGGGCTTTATATTTGATGTGGATTAATTATTTGAATAACATTAATATGATAATCCTTAAATAATTAAAAACCCATTAATTTTATAACTCGTATAATCAGAAAAAATGAACTTATTTTTTATATATTTATATTAATACTTATTTAAGAAACTTATTTTATATACTTTTATATTAAAAAATTCTTGTTTTTATTATTAAACGTCAAATAAAAAATTATAAACTTTACATGATTATTATAATTTGTACGTCAATCTTCATTCAATAATTATTCTTATTATTCAATCCATCCTAATTAAAAAAAGAAGAAGAAGAAATTTCTTCTTATAATTCAAAAAAGAATTCTTAATTCTTATACAACAAGACAATTCTTAATTATTTCTCTTATCAGAATGTCTTAATATTTTCTTTAATTAGGACATTGAATTTGAGACGTTAGATTTTTTGAAGGATTGAGATTCATTCGAATTAAAACTAATTACCATACAAGATTCATAAGATAGTGAAAATGAAAGAGATAAGGTAGAGAAAAGTACAATTATAATATCAAATATATTTAATTAGAAGAGAAATATTATATATATATTACTTCGACCACTTTCACTCATCTTCCTTAAATGGTTTTAAAGCTTTGAATACAATTGTTTCTTTCATCTTTCCTAAAATATAATTTCTCTTTCCCTAATTAAAAAAAAAAAAAAAAAAAATCCTCTTTTTGGCTTATTTATTAATTAGTTTGCATGATTGAGATGCTTTTTTTCCTTTATATAGCTCTATTTCAAAAAGAAAAAAAGAAAAAAAGAAATTTCTAGCCCTCTCGAAAATAAATTCCTGGTTTTGCCACTGTCAACATTGTTAAACAAGTCAAATAAAAGAAATAATACTAACTTTAAAAAACCTAGGGTAAACTAAATTAAAAACCATTTAAAATAGAATTCCTTAGATAATAAGTAATTTATATTTATCAAGTTTAGAAAAAGATATTTGCTTTACAATTTCTTTACATGCAATGACTTGAATTAAATTTATACAACATGGGTCTTATTTATTTACAATCTAACTACGTTGTTTATTTTGTTTTTGGACATGATTATTGGTTTGGATAATTTAAAAAATATAGAGACTATTTTGGGTGTAATTATAATTTTATAAAACTTATGGGGTTTTGAATCATAGATGGCACTGGCCCTGGTAACGACGTTGAAGCTGTCGTTAATTATTTACAAGCCATGGGCTATAGACATTACGCCTTCCGTAACTTGAAAGAGTAATACTACACGTATAACATTTTTATACAACATTATGTAACAAAATATCATTCGTTGATTTTAAATTAAAATTGAACTTTTACCCAATCATCTTTAGTTACATAATATTGTATATGTAGTGTTATTCAACTTGAAAAACTTAACTTTAAATTTCATAACTATGGAAACTACCAAGAACACCCCTTGCCATTAGATTTTGCTATTAAAACTCATTTATCTATGGTTAAATTAGTCTTTTCACCTACAAATATTTTTAAATTAAAGAATAAGAAAAAAAAAAAAAAAAACTCGGATATAAAAAAGGAAATTCAAGCTGACAATAAAAAAGTGTAAAAGGAAATTTGAAAAAAAAAAGAAAAAGAAAAAAGTTTTGCAGCTGGAGATTGAAGATCACAACTGGATATAAAAAAGAAATAAATGTTTATAAACATGTATATAACGGTAATGCTATTTGTACAAATTCTTATACAAAGAGAGTTTGTACAAACTTACGTGACACGTCACAAAGCATGTCATATGGCATTGTGACCCATTTAACTTAATGTTACATTAATGTTATATGGGCTCTCATATCACGTGGCACTCACATGATGTGCAATGTGAATTTGTACAAACTCTCTTTGTACAAAGAGTTTGTACAAATAACATTATCCTGTATATAAATAGTAAGTTATGATTATGGGTAATGTTATTTGTACAAACTCACGTGACACATCACAAAGTATGCTATGTGGCATTGGGACCCATTTAATTTAATGTTACATTAATGTTATATGGGCCCTCATGTCACGTGGCACTCACATAATGTGCCATGTGAGTTTGTATAAATTCTCTTTGTACAAAGAGTTTGTACAAATAACATTATCCTATGATTATATACATGTTAATGATATGAATCAATTTTTTTACATTTAACTCCACTACAAAGGGTTACTTTATCAACTTCTTCATAATCATAGATAATGAAATATTAAGGGCATTCACTATTTTTGAAAAATATCATATTATTATATATGTATAATCCGAGTTTTAATATTAATACTTTTTCTGGGGATAAATGATAATTTCGGGGTATACATATTTTAAAATCTTGGGCGCATTTTTTATTTGATTATCTCAGCGGTTGAATTAGTGTAGACGACATATTCCCACCCGAGGTTTGGCAAAGTCCTAAGTTGGTATTCTTGGTTGCATTTATTCTAAATTCTTACCTTTAAAGTGACAGAAAATTGTTTAATGTAACGGTAAATAGGTAAATTGGTCATTTTGCAGAGGCGACGCACGTTAGCTGATCGTCGCCTCTAATAGTGCTTTGGCGCACGTTAGCAAACATCGCCCTCGGTGTTTTTTGCCCTTTTTTGACGATTCTTCCACCCAAAATCACCCTTGTCACCACCATTCAAACTCTCATCCTCCTCTCTACCAAACCTTACCCTTCACAACCCCTTATCACTTACTTATTGTCGGCTATGGTAGCCGCGTCATGCGACTGTTTTTTGCTGGTTTCGACCGTTTTGAGTGGCGACAACCCCAACCATCACCATCGTTTGACTCCTTGCATCCCCCTTACAAAACCCCTAACCTTCCCGGCCATGACAGTTCACAATTTGCCGTCCACCACTTCACTAAAAATCGCAATGAACACGAACCTCTGGATTGATGAACAGTGATTAAATAGTTGGTGGGGACATAGGAGTTTTGTAGAATTAGAGACGCTAGTTGCAGCGGTGGTGTCCAATTGGATTTTTGCTACCAAAATCGACTAGAATTTAGTGAAGAACAACGAAATCCTAAACCTAACGGTGCCGACGATTAGAGGGGCCAATGAGTCGAGAACCAAAAGGGTTTTGGATGACGGACTATGGGGAAGGTGATGGAGGTGACCAGGGGTTTAATGCCATCGGAAACAACCCAGATCAAGCAAAACAGAGAGGGTGTGTAGTTGTCGAGGGTGTTATTGAAGTAATTTGAAAATAAAATGGCTAACTTATAATTCTACTAATTTAGGGGTAAATTTTTTTTATTAATTTATTTGTTAAGGGCGTTATGTTAGTAGCACTCTACGAACCTAAAAATTGCTAACCATCATACTTTTAACTTTTAAGGGTGGGAATGTAGAATAAATACAGGGTCATTTGCGTTTACTCGTTGAATTATAATAATATAATAACCTAATTACTAGTGAAACTGAATGCTCATAGTGAACAAAGCATCAAACTTAGCGTGGTTTGAACTCTAGAGAAGTTGTGGGAAGGATGGCAGAATCCGAGAAGTCGAAAGACCTCCAACAAACCCTCCAGCCCTTCTACGATAGAGCCTCTCAAGCGGAGGTTTGAACTTCACTTCATTAACTTCTTTTTCTCAAGATTTTATGTTTTTTGTTTTTTTGTAATAAAGAGGATTAAGATTCTTTATTAAAATTTTAGTTCATTATTGTTAAATAGGAGATTAAATAATCATGTTGATGGGTTCTGTTGGAAAATGCATGAAAGCCACCATTTTTAATAAGAAGCTCGTTAACTGGGTTTAAGAACCTAAGGCTGGTACTGAATCTGCTCTACCTTATCTCACCATTCGTTTCGAGTTTTTGATTTTGCTTTCTTTAATATGTGGTTACTAGTTTTTAATTTATCTTATTTAAGTTTTGGATATTTTGGTCCCACATGAAATTAACTTAACTTGAATCATGCCTTGTGTTTAGAGCAAATTTACACAAACTTATCTTTACTGGTTTGAAAATTGATCGATTCGTTTTTATTTTCCCTAATTTTGTAATACAGAGGATTTTTTTTTAATGAAATTTGTTTTTAGATATTTGAAAATAAAGAGTTTCATAAATTTTAGAAGGATGAGTTCAAGTTAAACTTCCTATAGCTCTCCTCTAATCTGAACGTTTAATCTTAGTTCAAGGAATTGGGGTGTGATTATTGCCATTGTTTGACGAAAATAATTAATTATATGTTTTGTTTTTGTTTTAATTTTTGTTCGATCAAAACTGTGAACTAACAATTTAAAATGATGCATCCTTATGCTGAAAAATATGCATTTGATTCCTGAAATTCATGTTCACGATCTTTTGGCTTATGGGGNAAAAAATTACCAGCCGATGTTCCATGTTTGCATGCTTGATAATGGCTTCAAGAAAGCCAGGAGAAATTTCAGTATGTACAAGTTGATATGCTGCTCGAGAACCATCTATATCCTCATTCTGCTCCTTGAATCGAGCAGCAAATAGGTGAATCTCTGGCACTCTCTGTTGAAATTGTGGTAATAAACAAATAACTCTCATAAGTAAATCAAAGAAGCAACAGAAATCTGTTAATCATTATTCCGAAAATATTGCATTGGAATCTTTTATGGGGTTCTTCTCAAGAGTATACTTCAATTGTCAATGCTCAGCACAAGCAGCCCAAACACAGATAACTTAAAATAAAAGAACAAAACTATCTGTATTTGAAGTATATGATGCCCTAAGAGCCAACTAATAATTGATCACTTCACATTACCTAAAACAAAGAAAAAGATATAAAATATACAGTGCACTTTTTTAATTCACTATGCCCACGCTAATCAACAGAACGAGTGAAACTAAAGAATAGAGAAAAATCACAGAATCCACATTGGCAAATTGCTGCTTTCTCATTCCCTGTATCCACCAATCCTCTTCCTCTGGCTGCTGCTAGCATTTCCTAATTCAGATTCCATATTTCCAACAGAAATATCACCTGATGTTATGAACTACATTTTAACCATTTCTTATACTAAGAATCAACACTCCCTGCCCATTTCAAATATTTTGGGGAAAAAAATGATAATTTTCAGTTTCATAATTGAATGAAACTATTTTTTTTAGGTTTTGTTTTCAATCAGATTAAACCATTGATTCCCACTAAATCACTTTTCTCTAAAACGATATGCACGAAATTACAAATAGGGATTCAAACCACTATTTCACTTCAAACCAACAATTCACAGTAATACTCATCAAATATGTTCTAACATATATCTGCGGCTTGATTACTTATCTTAATTTTCCGAAAGGGCTCTCAAGCAAATGTCTTTATCAATGTGAACAAGCAAACATGTATTCATGGCAATGCAAAAAAAAAAAATCATTTGTCCAAAAGTCAGTCCAGGTTAACCCATTAACATTTTTTCTTTAAGCAACAGTGAACTCAATAAATTGACAAAAACCAAAATCTTAAGATGCAATGTCTGAAACAACCTTTCTGACAATTTGCTCCCAAAAGTTCCCGTTACTACCAAATCAGTTCTCAATTCGATTTCCATGCAAAAGAATTAGAAGAGCAGATTCAAGTAACAAGATTGCTCAACTACTCAATGGCTCAAAATCAACATTTTACTTAAAACTGCAAGTAAATCGCCTCCTGCAGTCATGCAGAAATGTTTTGAGAAAACAAATACAGATTCATATCTAATACCTTGACAAAGACTTGAGTTGCACGAGCAAGTGCATTATCTGCAAGATCCATACTTCCACTGGCTTCCATGCACAACACATACCGTATCCAGTATTCAGGATAATTTGCACATGCTACTAAACATCTTTCATATAACTTGACCACCTAACCACACAGAGAAACATCACTGGTTAAAAAGTAACATAATCTATCACAAAAAGAACCAAAGAGGTAATGTAAAGCACAAAAGAGATATGCATAAGAAATACTCCATTAGTAGAATAGAGAGGCCCCTCATATACGAAAGGAGGGACCCTCCTTGCCTGACAGATAGATGGTTAGGAAGACAAGAACACACCTGCATGCATAACATGGGAACTTTAAAAAGAATAAAATTTACTATACAACACATTACGAACCTAAAATGTCCACGGACAAATGAGGGTTTGAAGTACTTAGCCTTAAAGTAACCAAATCGAAGGCCCATGCTTTAGTCTCAGTTCAAATTCCCGTTTAAAAAGTTGCTTCACCCAACGATTTAGCCAATAAAGCATATGATGCAGCAGATATTACTTAACTGTAAGTCAACTTATAATCAAGAGGACAACTAAAAACTACAAACCACAGATTCTCAAAGATGGACTGCTAACAAACCAAATACCTTGTTGAAGTCTCCTTCTCTTTCTATAAAATCCAGATAGTTATGCCAGTTTTCAAGCTCAGCAATACTTAGTGGCTTGACATGAAAATAGGGTCTCCTGATAGCTGTTTCAAAACCAATGATCTTGGAATCGAACTCTTTAGCTTTCTTATAAATCTCTTCTCTGACTGCGATATACTTCTCCAACTCCTCTGCTTCTGTTAAGCCAGCATTTACAGGTTTAGAAGATTGCTCAGCTGCTTCAGGTTGGTCCTCTTCCTCATTTGCTTTTACTTCATCAGTGGCCTCAGAAATTGCTTCAGCATGAGTAGCAGCGGTTGTTTCCTCAGCAGTCCTCAACTCTGACAAAGGTCGACTTCCAGCAAACTCCTTGAAACTGTAAATTGCACCACTAAATTCATTAAATGGGTATAATACATCTATATAATAATATTCGATCTAAATAGCAACAGTCAACACATGTCAAAGCAAAAAAATAAAAAATACAAGAGATGTTCAAACATAACTGCAAATTCCAAATAAATACACAGCATTTCTGTCCATATGGTATAGCAAAATGATAGCCTATTCTTTATGCACTATAGCATAGCATAGCATCCCATGAAATCACATTGTCAAAACAACTGGAGGGAATTTAACAGTTCCCCCCTTCCAGCATAATCAAATCTTCTTTACCAGCTTATAAAAAATTAAAAAAGGCCTCATACAGCAACATAAAACAAAGCAGGGAACTAGATATATCACACAATCCACTTTAACAACAATTGGTAAGAATTTCCATGAAAAAGTTATACTTCCTAACAGTTTTATAATCATATTCTTACAAGAAACATACTCAACCATATGCCAAAGATATATGACAAAAGAGTCCAGTAAACCCCAAACCATAAATTAAAGAAAAGCATGCCACACCAAGACATTCATAATAAACTTCATAATCACAAAACCATTCGCTCAACTCATACATTCTGAAGCTGCTTGCCCATGCTTTGGACGAACACTGATTAGGAGAATGCACACACACATACATGCCAAAAGCAGTCAATTACAAAAACAAAGATCAAATTCCAAAACCATCTACAGCACAACACACAATTTCAACATGCTCTTCATCTTGAAAGAATGGAAAATATTGAAAAGACCTATCCACTATAAATATAACAACTACTCAATACATAACACAAACAGATAATTGGTTACACATAATAACAAGAAATTACCTGCTGAAATGCCGATCTAATTGTTGATTTGGATTTTCAAACATCCTAGTGTAAATCATTGCAACACGGCTCCAGTCCTGCTGCATGTATTCATATTCAATGTATTTCTCCCAAAGGGGGAAAGAAAGGTAATCTGTTCCAACATAAGCCAACCCCCGTTCAAAAAGCCTGAAACACCATCAGCATTAAGAACGTTGTTATGACATATATATATAAATCAATTCAGTTGACGCAAACATCCAGAAAAATGGAGCAGCTGCACTAATGTTGAAGGAGAACAATTCACTCTAACAGCATATGACACATCCAAACGCTGCATTTACCTTCCTGATAAAAATCATATTATGTCCGAAATGAAGCAGTGAAAGAGGCCATCTTAGCCCTTAACTGGATGAGATCTTCCCAGCGGCATTTTGCAAAATGATGCACCCCGGAGTGTCAAAGTTGAAGACAACCATAATTTAAAAATAACTACTTGACTACAACACAGGCCTTCAGGAAGTAGAAGAGAAAGGTACGAAGAGGCCAAAAAAAGTTTTAATATCATAAATAACAACATGACTATGACAAAGGCCTCATATTCAAAAATTTGCAACAAAAGAATGAAAGAAATCATTTTTAAAGTGCATTCCCATCAAAACTTTCCGCCAGTGTAATTGCTGTTGCAGGAATACTGAAATGATGTTAGAAACAACAAAATATATCGCCAGATCCTTGTGACCGAAAAATTCATGCAGTCACCATCTCCCAATGCAGTTAAACAATGACAATGTACAAATAAACAACCATTACCTTCGGATAGTGTCTGGATCTCCGTATGTGTTTATAGCAAATATGCAGTAATGCAACCAAATGTCAACTGAATATGTCACCCCTTGAACAGCTCGTTCATAAACCTCTACAACTTTGTCCATGGAGCCCACGCGTGCCTCATGATCAGCATACTTCTTCCAATAACCATAACACAAAGGAAATTCAGCCAAAAAAGCATCATAAACTCTTCGTATCTTCAGTATATTGTCCTGCACAAAACACATTGATATTAGTTCACACCAAACAGCTATTTAAGTTGCATTACATGCATATAAAACAACCAACCAGTGGATTTGTTGCAGAGAGTAGTTCATTGTTCTACTATTCTTCACTATTAAACAGGATATGCATTGGGATATGAACAGACCCAAAATAATCCTTTACTATGAAACTGATTATCCCAGGATATTGTCAGACCTTGGTACAGGCATAGTTAGGAAGTTGATATTTAACCTTCATTCTAAGTAACAGACAGACCTAATCCGTAGTAAGTAGAGTCATAAGGACTTCCTAGGTCCAACTGAAACTAGAAATTTGAAAATCAGCTAAAAAAGAAATAAACATATACTTGAAAGGAAATAAAAAAAAAGTGGCTGAGATTGCCTACTCCAAATAAATGCATCACGTGCCAAAAAGGTACCTAATTCTCTACTTTCAAGGTTAGCAATTCAACACACACAACAGACATGAAAAGATAAATTGACTATCTTTGAGATTGCATTGTCTTACAAAACAGCCTATGTAATCTTCTCTTGCAATAAACTAAAAACATACACAACCAACAACCCTAGCTATTTATATCAATCCTTAAACAAAAATACCTCTGCCAACTTCTCTGTCTCTTCAAGTAAAGCGGTCCATGCGTTAAAGTCAGCAGAATTAGCCTTCACAATGCTCCATAATCGATCTTCTTCACCTGACATTGCTGACACCACAGATAAAAGTGGCAAAATTAATGAATGAAATCTTAATTTTAGAAGAAAATAAAAACAAATATCTTATCTACAGAAAATTTGTCAATTAACATTCCAGTTCCCACTAAATATGAATTATAAAGTTTCTAATGTAGAGACACATATATTATTGGTAACCACAATATCAGTGGCCTGTAGATGATATTATTAGATGAATCCCTGTTGCCAACAATACTTATTTCAAGTTCAAAAGGCAGCTATAATAAATCTCAAACAAGCAAAAACAAGAAAATTGAAGCAAAAAAAAAACCATTACATCTAGATATTGGCCCATAAAAATGAAACCCAAGATGTGTAACAAATAACAGCATAAATCAAAAATTGAAGGGGAAAATATCAAATTGAATCAGGAAGAAAATTTCTTGAAATCAATACAAAGTGTTGGGTAACAACATTCCAGCCAAAGGCCACAAGTGTGTCTGTGGCTTCAAATTAGAAACATTCAAAAACTGAGCTTAACTGTAGTATAAGAAAGACATACATGAACCATCCATGACCTCTTGCCCGCTGGCAGCTCCACTTCCAATACCCAAAGAACTTCCATTTTCAATTGAAGTTACATTTCCGGCTTCACTAACATTGCCATTTAAAGAACTATAACCAGAAGCTTGTGATGGAGCCACAGATGCATTTTCCAAACCTGTAACATTATCACTAGCAGCAGCGGCCCCGGCAGCTTGAACCTGTTGCATGACAGAATTCGGATCCATATTATAAGCATTCCCATCACCTAAACCAGAACCAGCAGCAGGTACAATATAAGTTCCATCAACCGGAGCACCAGAAGCAGCATAATCTCCAGCAGCCCCAGACGTAAAAGCACCAGCATCAGGAGCAGAATTTGTGCTGGCATCAGCATAGCTAGTGTTAGTGTAGCCTGCAGATGAATAGCCCATGACTGCAGATGTTTCAGCAACTAATGTTTCACTGTCTCCCATACTTGATGAGCAGACTTTCAGTTCACTCTGAGGCTGCAAGATTAGAAGAAAATTCAAATCACAACCAAATCCCAGTTCATGATATTGATTTATATGGTTCATGTTATCACTTCAATCTGTCTTTGGTATGATTGCTAAACAAAACAATATTCAGTAAAGACATACCAAAAAATGACCCCGACCTTATTTCTCTTCGGATGAATTTTAACCCAATCTTCCACCGACACCATCACTTCAATATACACGTTACTCCAGAAAATGTTCTGCTATTTAATCCAATCACTTATAAATGCCTATTTGATTATCAAACCAGCCATAAGTCTCCTCTAACAAACAGTTAGTCCAAATTAGTACTCAGAATTACAATTTTACTCTCTTTCATTTATAATTCTAGCCGATAATTCACTTTCTATTAGTATCAAAGAAACACATTTAATTTGCAAACTAGAGCAAACCCTAGACACTTAAAACTAGCACAAGACTCTAAAATAATAGCTTGGAACTTAAAAACATACATTTTAAGCAAAGAAAAGAAACGAAAAACCCTAATCCGACGGTCTCCGCGTTCTTAAACCCTAATTAAAAGCAATTAAGAACGTAAGTGTAAGCAACGTAAGCCATAAGAAGAAAGCAATGGTTGTGAACTTACCAGAAGCGGAGAGACGGCGCCGTTTCTGGAGAGTTCAGGATTTGGTTTCTGAATTGAAAGGTTGTTCGTAGTTTTTGAGTCTTGCTTTCCTGGTGGGGGCAAAAAAATTGCAAATAAAGAGAGAGCTTAGGGCTTAGAATTTGGTACGCGCGTGCCTTTTATAAGTGAATGGATGTGTGAATTTGATGGCGCTTTTGTTTTATGATGGATTTGATATGGGCCCTGGGATTGAAAGAGCTGGTGATCGGATAACTCACTTGGGTGAGTCACGTGGAGTACTTTTTTCTTTGCCACGTCGGGTCTTATTCGAAAATTGAAACTAGGATTTACCGATTTAGCGTTGGTTGGCGTGGCATTTGACGCCTGACAAGCGCTCACTTCTCGACTGGAACTTGAAAGTGGGCCTGTGAATATTGGTATAAACCTTGGGCCTGGGCCCGTTTTATTTGAGTCATATCCAAACTTTTTCAAAGCCCGTATTAAATTATACTTTATTAAATAAAATTAAATACACACATTATTAAATACAAGCAATAGTACAAGTACATTCAAATCTTACAAATTTTTTCTCACAATCCTGACATATTAGCTCGTAATTGGTTCTTGATAAATTTTTTCTATGTGACCAATTGCGAACTATCACATCGGAATTGTAAGAAAAAGTTTGTAAAATTATGTTGTAAGTTAATCTTTAATGTTTCAATAATAAATCAAACAATATTATTATTAGTCGTGACAGTAAATACTGGAAAAAAAATGTGCTTAGGCTAAAATATATGAAATTATGAATGAATCCAAAATCAATATCACACAATGTTGTTTCTAAATAAAAAGATTCACTTTTGATATGATTTTGTAACAGATGACCTTCGATTTTTCAAATCTACTACTAGTTTTAAAGATTTACTTTTGTGTAAAGCAAGAGCCTAAGTTCGATTCCTGAGAACCTTCTCTTGTTGCATTCGCAGAACCTTTGGCTGGCACTTAATGCTCAGTATTGAACTTTTTTAAAACTTTGGAAGAGCTTATTTCGATCAGTTGTGCCCAAAAATAATATCAGACCGAAACTGGCAGTTGAATTTGAAGATAGAGGCTATACAAAGCTTAATTATCAAATGCCTTCTTACGAATGTCTCACTTCTGTGGTTCATCAATTCAAGAATGCAAGATAAATGAAAAACAAAAGAAAATTTGCATACTCATCTCCTAGAAGAAATATGATACGTAAAATGTAAACAACAAAACAAGAATAAGGCGCATAACAGTTATTATAATTGAGACCATTTAGCATTTTAAAAAAAAAGAACAAAAACAAATCCGGCATAATATATCATGACAGTATATTTAAAGCCCAGTTGAACTTGATTTAATTTCCTTCTTTAAACTTGCTTTCCGCCTTGGAACTACTGGCTTTGCAGATTTGCTTTGTGTAAGGCCGCTGTTGTTACCAAATGCATCCCTGGAGCCTTTTCTTGCAACCAGAGGACTTCTAGCCGTGAAGCCTTTAATGGGGCTAGAGACGGCTGCAGTTTGGGTAGGCACTTTCGCATCATGATGAAGCTTTTTCAGAGAGGAAGATCTTTCATTATCGAACTTGTTGATATTTCCGATCATCCCATCATTATCTGACAACAAAATTAAAGAACCCTCTATCAACTTTTGCACCATGGAAGCGACTTGATTCAAATACAAGATTTTACACTATACCAGGACTGGATAGGACTGCGCGAGGGCGTGTGACTGAGCTAGCTCTGGCATTCAAGAGTTTGGTATCCTTGTTGATTTGTCTATTGCTCTTTGCTGCTGTCCCATAAATAGTTGTTAAATTGTTGAGCATTTGTGTTACTACATTTATCTACATGAAAGACGAACAAAGCAAAAGATTAATAGAAGAACAACCTTTGGATGGGGTAACCGATTGTGCTTTTACAATTGGGGCATTCACCTTTGTGATTTTGGCAACTGAAGGAGAAGAATTGCTCTTGTTTTCCTCTGGTACAAAAGTATTTATATAAGATAACTGGGGATTAAACTTCCATAACATGATAAAAATTTGTTAATGCAGTGAAAGAAATCCGAATTGTGGAATGCATACCATCAGAAGAGTGATGATCTTGTAAAGACAGAGATTCAATAACCTTTATGAACAGAAATGATCCTCTGTCATCTTGTTCTTGCTCTTGTTCTTGTTGCCTCACCTTCACCTGTGGATACACTTCAAAATCCAAAATAACAAATGGATAATCCAAGTAAGAAATTATTAGACAAGGAAAGCTACATGAATAAGCTATATATTTGCATTAAATGTGAACCTACTATCTGTATGTATATCGTGTGCTTTAAACTCCGAAAACAACAATTAGATTGAGAATAATATAATTGAAACAAGCAAATCCTGATGAGAAGATATTCCAATAAATAACAGCAAGGCATTTATAAGAAAATATGATCACGTATGGAACATATGATTTTGAATTAAAGAAACAAAAGGAGGAAAGAAGCAGACAAAGCTATGTCAGATCTTATCTCACTTTAACGTTGAGTTTTGCAATTCAAATGGGTTTGGTTCTTGAGAATGCGTATTCTTGAGGAATAGTGAAAGTCAGAGAGAACAAGCAACGGCCACTGCTGACACCCTCTGAAAAGTTGTATTTCAATTTGGGTATTTCGTAAACCCCCATAGTTCTGCCAATACTAGATTCCACCCGCTATTATGGAAAATAAAGGATAACCCCCATTGGTTAATTTTGACTATCAACTTTAACAGATAATTAGGTATTATTGGGTCTGTTTGGTTTGTTATTTTGGATAGGATTTTGAAAATAATATTAGATAGTTGAATAGAATGATTATTACGAGGTAAAATTTAAAAATTAACAAAAAACCCCTTAGGTTTGTTAATTTACTAAACACCCCCATATATAAAAAATTTGTAAAATGACAAAAACACCCCCACCCATCCACAATGTCAGATTCCGTCCACCACCGCCAGAATCTAGTTGGAATCTGCCGTTATGACGCAGACCGATCAGATCTGGCTGGCGTTGCGTCGATTTGGCCTTTTTCGGCCAAATGGTCGTCAACGGCCGCAAAAGGCCAGATCTGGCCGAAAAATGCTAGATCGATAAATTACTGGCCAGTTCCTGTTGTTTGTAGGCTATCGTGACATATTCTGACTACCACTGATGGTGGTTACCAGAATCTGGCAACTATGGGTGGGTATGGGTGTTTTTGTTCATTTTTAAACTTTTTTTCTAGGGGTATTTATGAAATTAATAAACTTAAGGGGTCTAAAAATAATTAAAAAAATATAATAGTATTTCCTAAATAATTAAACAAACAAATATTTTGAGAATAGTGTATAAAATAATGAACCAAATGTACCCATCGCTATTCTTTCGTTCTTAAAGGATAATTTTGACTTTTTCTATCTATAAAAACCCTTCATTTTTTTCTCCAATTTCTTTGTACTTCTTTTTATCTTCTCTTTCCATCTCATTTCTTCAACGTCTCTTGTCTCTCTTATCTTTCTTCTTCTTCTCTCCCTTCTCTTCTTTCCTTTCTTCTCCCTCTTTTTCCTCCTCCTCCCCTTCTCTACACCATGTGACGACCATTTGGCGGCTAGATTTGTTTGGCATAAAAGGAATGACTATGGTGTAACATGGTGAATCAATAAAAGAGTTTATGGAGAAAGTTTTGTATGTATTGAATCAAATTAAATTAAATTAATAAAATAATTATTGCCAAATGTCTTAATATCATGCAAGGGTATTCTTGGTATTTTATACTTATACAGAGTTAGAATAGTCTCTAAAAAAACATTACTAAAGGGATATAATTGTCATTTCCTAGCCTTGACACATTTTTTAACAGAAATGTCACACGGCTCGTAAAAAATGGGGGTTACCTTCCTATTTTTAAAATTGGCAAAATTTTGGGGGTTCACTGAAACCTTTCGCTTTCTTGTCTTGAAAACCAAGAAGTAAATATTCTCTGCCTGACAAATTGCCTGTAAAGTTTCCATGGCCGTGGGACAACTCTACTGATTTTAAATCATGATGTATTATTATTATTATTTTGTTTTTATCAAGGTGTTCGAGCATGTTTACGTATACCTCAACTAGTCCCTCAAAGTCCTGAAATTAACGGCCAATTAAACCTCCAGTGGCTATCCTTTATTAGTATTTGTAGGGATTCAAACTCAAGATCTCTTGTGTAATATACCCAAGAATCTTAAACGAACCGCTAAATTATCTAAAGGTAATTAATCATGATGTATTTCAGAGATGAATAATCATTTATTATTTGAAGATATGTAAAATATAGACATTTCATTTAATAGTTGATTAAAATTTGTTGTTTTGGCCTTTGGGGCCCTAACATGTGTTGAGCATTTTGAGGAATTGAACTACCTTTGAGTGGTCGAGTGGTTCGATAAACACTCTTGGATGAAATTTGTTAGGGCCAAAAATCATCCTTGGCCCAAATAAGAAAATGGGCGTGACGCTGAAGAAGAAGCCAAGCCCAATCCTGATATGACCCTATCGGGTTAGGCCCATTAGGTACAATGTGTAGCCGGCCCAGACCACGTGGGCACGAGCCTCCTAATCCCAGCCCATTTCCCAAGTCCATGGGTGAGTATAGAGCCCATGATCTCCTCAGAATACTTCCCATTCCTGATCACTTTCCTGTTCGAAGTTACTCTCCTAATCAGAATCACCTTCCTATTCGGACACTGGTAAGACAGCTCACCACGGCCCTAATTCTTCTAGGGTTTGCACTAGAGTCATACTAGGACTCCTATTTCTACCAGGATTGGGAGACCAGACAGTGATTATATAAGCAAAGGCCAGCCCTCTCACAAGGGACATCGACATTACACCTTCACACCTAAGCTCTTACTTGAGAGCTTCGCTTCACCGCCGTAGTCACAGTCCCCGACTAGACTTCCGGTAATTTTTCACTCCCTAGCCCTCACTATATTAGCCTTTCAGCCTTGCTGACTTAAGCGCCAGAGTGCCTACGGCAAACACCACCCCGGTGTTTCCCATTCGCTTCACGTGTGTTTCTCTACGTGTGCAGGTACAGCAGATCGCTAGTGGCCTCAACCTCATGGGATCAGACCCCCCTTTCGTATA